AGGAGAGAAGCAGGGGGAGGGAACGAAGGTATCGAAGAAGTTTCCTACAGTAACATCTGCTTCCAGAGCCCTTGCAGGAGAGGAGGAGAGGGGGAGGGGGACGGGGGAGGGGAGGGGAAGGGCGAAAGACCACTCGTTCCTTGGATTCGCCAGTGGCAGCAAACACGTATCATATTACACTTCCATAACATTTAACAACCATAGGTAGATTACCTGCAAGATTTTTTGTACACCACGAGCAATATCATAGTGCTTTTGACCGACAATGTTCGGGTCCATAATTCGGGATGTTGAATCGAGTGGGTCGACGGCCGGATAAATTGCCAATTCAGCAATACCCCTGGACAGCACTGTTGTGGCATCCAAGTGCGCGAATGTAGTGGCTGGTGCTGGATCGGTCAAATCATCTGCAGGCACGTAGATCGCTTGCACCGATGTAATTGATCCCTATAAATTCGCTCAGATTTGCTCAAATTCGCTCCGAAATACTCAAAATCAATTTTTTTGCCTCAAGGAAAACACGAAAAATTGGCTTTAAGTTTCAAAAAAAAGACAAACTTTTTTGGTGGTGGTGATTCGTTCCTGCATGCCACCCATATCAGTTGCCAGAGTTGGCTGGTAACCGACAGCAGACGGGATACGTCCCAGCAGTGCAGACACTTCGGAGCCAGCCTGTGTGAATCGGAAAATATTGTCGATGAACAGCAACACGTCCTGTCCTTCTTTGTCACGGAAATACTCGGCAACCGTTAAACCGGTTAGGCAAACCCGTGCTCTGGCTCCTGGTGGCTCGTTCATTTGACCATACACCAAAGACACCTTCAAAATTCTTGATGATACATTTAGTATGGCAAAACTATCGAGAAGGGTGCTGTTTGCTGTGACCATTTATGGATATTACAGCAAAATTTCACTCAAACGACCATTTAACCGATCGCCGGCTGCTCGTCTACCACTCAAGAAAATATTCTCGGAATAGCTTCATCAACTGCTAGAAAATACATCGAACAGGAGATAAGAATTAACCATTCAGCAAGTTTACTGACAAAGAACTGTTACACCAAATCTCCGAATGGCCACAGTATTTTCAGTAAACTTCAAAGAAGTAACTCGGTCCGGGGGATTAGCCACTTTTTTCTTAAAAACTGATTGATGATTCTTTTAATCGCTAAATGTTTGCAAACAATCGACCGGTCCGCACTGAGAACTACAGGTTATCTAAACCCCGTTATACTTTGCCCTGTGTGAGAGATAGGAAGCTGATGGAGATTCTTGCTATCTGGCATGTGCCTGTACCCGAGACAAACCAAGAAACAATAACGGATTAGTCCACGCACTAGCAATATCAATCCATAGATATTCTGCCTAAGCATTGTGGCAACCCATTCTAGAACCTACTGCCACCGCCACTTACAACAACAAAATCAATAAAAAGCAAAATTCGATCCCCGTCTATACATAGGAAGATCCAGAGCGACCTCCTAGGGGAACGGGGCGGGAAAAGGTGAGGGAGGGGGGCTGTAGAGGGGAAGAAGGGGGGGAGAGGGAGGAGATTTTCACCGGCAACGAGCGGAGGAGAAGAGAGAAAGGGAAGGGTGAGAATCCTGAAGCCGGGAGGGGGGATGAGGTGCGGTAGTTTTTTTCAGTCTTAGCTTTAGAAACAGACTTTTGTAACGTTGTTGCCTGGGCAAAAAGCTCATTACCCCCTCCTCCTCCCTACCCTTCCCTTGGATCCGCTTATGCGTCTGTAACTTTGGCAAATTTGATGGCGCGCTTTCAACGCAGCAGACTGACCACCAGATGATGCAGCACTGGTCGAAGCAAATGAAAAAGTAGCAAGCTGCAGAGTTGAAGAACCAAACTGTACATTAATAACCGCTCCAAATAATTACAGCAGTCAGCAGACAAAATGAATAATTAGAACGTTAACTGAAAAAAAGAAAACTGACTTTTGAGTTATTTCCTTTCAGATCGATGACGCCACCCTCAATCATTTCATGATACAAGTCGTTACCCTCACGTGTACGCTCACCAACACCCGCAAATACCGAATAACCACCATGTGCTTTTGCAACATTGTTGATCAGTTCCATAATCAACACGGTTTTCCCCACACCGGCACCACCGAATAAACCTGAAAAACGAGAAAAACCGATACATCTGGCAATATTCCAACCTTCTCCCTTCGATCTCTCAAAATAAT